GCCTCGTCATAGCAGCTCAATGAACCACAGTGAAAAATCGAGTTTTTTACTGTAGCTGTTGAACCCAGTCACCCTTGAGCCAACCCCCAGTGTTCATTGCCTCGTCATAGCAGCTCAATGAACTACAGTGAAAAATCGAGTTGTTTTACTGTAGCTGTTGCAGCAGTGAGTGAAAATCTGGCAACTGTGCTGCCCATGCCCACCTGGCATGAAGATTTCCAGCAGCTGCCTAGTCAGCTCATTGGCATCTAAAGGGTGCTGATGCACTCTAGTTCGTTGTCGATTGCTAGTTTCATGTCGATTGCGGTTGGCAAGATGCTGATGGCTGCCGATTTGGCGTGACAAAGTGACAAACAATCAAACGATGAATCTACCGTACTGCTGGTAGCTATAGCCCAAGATGCAGGGACAGCTTGATAGCCATGACACACTAAAATGATGGACTTACTACATGTATCGGTACCGGTATAGTGTTACCACTGTAGCCTGCCTCTTTCTTTGTTGCGTTCGACGGCGGTGTCAAGTCGTCAGCTCAGTCGTGATCCATAGCACTGCAGCAGAAAGAGAGGCAAGTTTTGTCTTCAGGCGAAAGGATATGGCTGCACTAGTGCTCACAGTGGGACTTGCTGTGGAAGGGCCAACAGTAAGGCTAGCAGTTGGCTCAGGAGTCTTTTGAGAACTGGTAACTTTGGCGTACATGGTCATCATGGCAGAATCCACATCCAAAGTTGCAGTACTTTCGGGTCCTCGGCGGAAACTGATAAAGCTTGGTGGTTTCGATATGACAACTTGATAAATGTAGCTTGCATTGGTAGGAGATCCCCGAGCAATTTCTTCTTCTGAATAGTCGCAAGGCTGGGGAGGATTGGCTTCGGCCTGGTTGACAAAAGCACTGAAATCTGTATCGGGGGCCAAGTGGAAGCACTCGAACAACTCGTCCCCCGCGTCAAAGTAGCATCGTCGGTTCCACACCTGGGAGACGCCATCGCCTTCCATGTCCACTCCCGGCCCAAAGCCTCCACAGCTAAAGATCACCGCATGATAGAAATCCTCCTCTCCGGTTGTGTAGTCTTCACAGGTGAGCGCTGTGCCGTCGTCGATTACGCTGCTCACACTCCCACCGTATTGGAACCAATTGGGACACGAGTAAGAGTGACATACGCCATCGACACCACAAAACTCCCTCCCACAATCATCCAGATCTGTGCAGTTGTTGGTCTGAGCACTCGCCGTTGCCAACATCAATAGAACCGAGAACAAGAACGAAAGCGTCATGGTCAGGTTTGTTTCGATCTAACATTCGAGTGCTACTACTCGGTCTCCACTGGCTGCTTCCGAGCGGCCTCTCCTTGCGCTGCAGCTCATGCTTTCGCAAGGTCACGTCCACCATCGCCGAAGAGAGAGACAATCAAGTACAGTGTGCCGGTAGCAGGCCAAAGGGAAGGACAGAGGGACCGTACAATAAAATTAATTTATTTGTTTACTTTAAAGATTTTTATTAGCTAGTTGGCGCGCCGAAGAATGTTGTACATGTCCGCTTTCATCGCACACTTTGTTTGAACTCTGATCCGTCGGTGCACTTTTTTCTCCTCACTCGAAGATGGCGGAGGCAAAGCTTCAAAAGCTCCACACGGCTGGAGTGAAGTCGGAGCAGTCCGCTTCCAAACTAGCCGCTTTCGTATCATCATTTCGACGTGGCGACGCAATCGTTAGACTGAACATGACGCGCTCTTCTGTTGCACGATCGGCAACAAGTGCGACGTTGTCCACCAATGCCATCGCCACTTCTCGTCTCCAGAACGACAAAGGCACAGACACTGTCGCGTTTTCGGCTACTAGTACTTCTGACAATGGCGACGCTGCGATTCGAATGGTGGCAGGCGGACCTTTGGATTTTGGACCCTCCTCCATCACTTCTCCGCCGCCTCGACGTGCCGATGCGCCTTTTTCGCCTTTTGCTGGAAGGGACTTGACCTTGCCGCTCACGATGAAAGAGAACGCAGCGAATGTTTCTTTGCGGGCGTTGGCTGGACGAAAGCGAGACTATGCTCCGACGGCTGCAGACCAATCGTATCGCCATTGCGCCACGACCAGTCAATCCACTCCTAGTACTGTAACTCCCGTTGCCGTGTCTGTTTCTCCTCTTGACAGCGATTCTCTCGAGGCAGGCATTAGCGACGAAGAAATGAACATCTTGCGCGAGTGGCATCTTGCTCACGACAAACCCAACGATCCACCACTCACTCGCGTGAAGCAAGAGACGAACCATTCCACGACCAAGCTCTCCCCGAGCAAGCGCCAAAAGTTGAGCGCCTCCATCTGCACCACGCCCATCAAGAGCAATCGAAAGGACAAAAGCAATGGCGGTGAAACTGTACATGGTGCGTGATCTAACCAAACTCGACCGTACCATTATTGGCGACGGGGCTTCGTGCTTGAACGGTGCCTCTGAGCACGACCAAGCCACGATTTGTCGAGTTGCTTTCCTTTCCTTTCGTCTTGCGCTCGTTCTGCCGCTCTCACGGATTTTTGCCTTTTCGTTTTTGTTGCTTGGCCGATCGTCTAGGAAACGCCAATCATGGGGACCATCAACGTCAAGCTGTTGTCAAAGATCCTGTTTTCGGATTCTGGTACGACCCGGACGACGGTGCAAAGCAATGCTCTATTCATAGCCCGACTGTTCTTGTGAAGAAAGCAGGTACTACTACTCCAATGGCACCCCGTTCCATGAGCCACAACGCTCATGCTGGGATGACACTAGCAACATCCAGAGTTCAGCAGCAGCCATGGCAATCGGTCCCGTTGTACCCTCAGGAGCGGGCCAGGGAGTATTGGGTGCTGCAGGCTAGCTACATGTTCCAACAGGCGGAACAAATGATGCGCTATGCCGAGAACCACTAGCTAGCCGCGATGTGTTTCTTTGGGTCCGGATAGATGACTTTGCTTGTTTGCAAGTGGTACGAGTCGAGTCAAGTCTGCAGCAGAACTCATCCTTCCAAGGTAGAAGGTGCTGTTTCCCACCATTCAAAGGCTCTCTCTTGCGGCACCAGAGACAGAAGAGCTACTACGATATATGACTGTATTATTATGGATAACCAGGCAACCACAGGGACTGAGACTGTGAAGAGCTACGGTTGTACTTCAAATAATGTAGATAAAAATGTGTTTTGTCTGATTGGATCATGTTATAGAGTTTTGTTATGAGCTAATGGTACATTCAAAGTTATGGAATAGCATTGATTGGATCATTTTTATATAGTTGTGTTATAAGCTGTTGGTACATAGTGGTACATTCAAAATAGTTTTGGCAATAGTATCAAACTCTTTGTGGTTTGGCAGATTTTATGCTTATCCTCGGAAGAGGATGCACAAGAAGTACTTTCCGTTCTTGGCACGAGCGGTGGCAATTCCAACCTCCTCGTAGCGAGCGTCGACCATATTGGTATAGTTGGTCACAAACTCGAGTTGCCTCATGTGCATGTCCAAGGCGTCGGAGCCGGAGATGACATTCTCTCCCAGGCGCCTCATGGATTCAGCCCCCCCGAGGGATTCACAGAGTTCAGTAGGGTTGGAGTGAAAGACCTCACCTTCAGATGCCATGGCCTCGGCATGCTGGGCGGCAATGTCATCCAGCTCGTCACTCTGTCGGAGAGCGTGAAGCGTAGAGTTCCATCGTCGTCGCGTGTGGTTAATCAGAGCACGGCTGCAGGAAATGTCAGAGCAGACTATAGGCTCTACAGTTGCAGTGGTGGATGCGGAAGTGGAGGACATGCTGGCGTTTCTGGCACGATGACTACGGGCGCTGCTGTTACCCATATCCACTGTGGTGCTGGTGAAGGATGATCCAAGATTTTCCTGAGACAACTCCATGGTGCTATCTGTGCTGTCGAGGGTTTCCATCACCCTCTCCACATTGTTCCAGGAACCGCAGGTGCGCCATTTCTTCTTGCTGTCCTGCCTGCTCCTCTTTCGGCCCATCATGGAGGTGGATTCCGAGAAGGAGATGAACTTGCCACCGATGGTAGACTTGGGCTTGAGAAAACCAAACATGTTGCTGTATAGAAGGATGATGTGTGGGATGTTGTTTTGCAATTGCTTTTATCAAGCAATGCTTTTGGTTTTTATGAGGAGAAAAGAGGGCTGCGGTCTGCGGCGATGAAATGGATTCCGGTGGCAGACTGTGATCAAAGCTGATCAACCAAGAACGGAAGAGAACTGGCTTCCTGGTAAGCCAGGAGGGGTCAAGCAGTTTAGAGCTCGAAACAGCTCTCGAAACACAGGTCAGAAAAATGACGATCAAAGGAGTCGTTCTGTCGTTCTTTATCCATCTCAATAAAACCGTATGTCTACTCGACAAAGCTGCAGCAGAACATTTGTCTAATCTAGCATCTTTTTCATCTGTAAGTTCATTGGAATGTCACAGCGTTCTGGGTTGCGAAAGCACGCTTCGCTTCTGCTCTTTGGGCTCCGGGGATGTGAAGGGGCTGTGATAACAGGTGAAAAGATTCCCAATGGTATAAAGATGGTCCCTTGCTATCGCCTTTGTGTACGACGGTACCCTCAAGAGAGCTCAAGAGATAATGTCAAAGTGTCAAAGAAAGAGCACCCAACTGTCAGACCTACTGAGTCCATCTGTGCATCTTGTACCGGTAGGTGTAAATTACAGATGATAAGAGAGCTACCTGGCAAGCTAGAAATAAGAGTAGCCACGAAACCTAGTATGAATTCCGAGACCAAACCCCCGATTGAGCGCGTAGCAAAGGCCGGCCAAGGGATTTATTGGCAGGCCTTTGGATGGTCAGGTGGTTTGTTTTTCACTGTGAATCTGTGAATGAGAGCCCAGCAGAGACAGATTCTAAGATTGGCTACTAGGTGGTTGCACTGGTGGTCTCGGTAGTTATATCACTGCCTGGTTGGTTTCGCGGCAAAGCAGAGGCTTTTGTAGCTTTTCACCGTAGCCAAGAGCCCGACAACTTGTAAAAACAATAGCAGGTGATCTGAAGGTGTGGGAGTAGCTCTTACAGGTGTATTGCGTGAGAGAGACTTAGTACTCCAGAAGACAGTCCAGTAGCCTGAAGGATTTAATTCTGTCTGAATGTCTGAATACCACTGGAGATTTATTTGTCTCAGTTACCAAAACACATGTATGTAGGTACGCAGGTACTCTACCGGTACACAGCCGGCACACTTACATGGACAGCTCATGGACATACTTACTTGATCAGCTTGATCATAGCTGGAACCGTCGTAAAAGCCCTAATCAGAGCACTGAGTAGCTACTAGCTAGTAGCAGTACTTACTTAGTAGTAACACTTCTGTGTCCCTGCATCTTTGATCCACTTTGTCTTGAGTGAGTGATAATTTTGTCTTGTCCCAGAAGAAGGTTTCGAAAAGAGTGGCGATGTCAAATAATGTAGCATGGTATGGGGGTATGGGGCAATGTTTTTGACTTGACGGGACTCCATTAGAACCTGCGTCTAGTAACTGGTAACGCTAACATAACCCCATAACTTTGCATAACAAATAACAAGAGCTTGGTTTTGCCCCATAGCCCTGATCGAATCCTTCAATCTCACAATCTCATATCTTCCGCATTCCGCATCCTCCACGCATGGCCAAAATATTGGAGTACTGCCCTACCTGATGACTTCACCGCGCCTACTCAGTACTCCAGTACTCAGTACGCCATACACTGTACTATTATTAATAATAGTACTGCATAAATCTAATGCAAGCTTATCGAATTACGACTGTACTCGTACAAAAAAAGACTATTCCAGTATTCCAGCACTCCAGTACGAGTAAGCTTATCGACTAATTTATTTGATTATTACAGTACTCTGGGCGGGTAGCGTGATTTGTCCCTCACAAATTTTCACTTAGGCTAAGTGATTGAATTTTCACTTAGGCTAAGTGATTCAATTTGATTTACTTAGGCTAAGTGAGCCACTTAGCCTAAGTGAAATTCAGTCTTATTTGATTTACCAAGTAGTCAGTCACATTTGATTCACTTAGCCTAAGTGAATTACTTAGGCTAAGTGGATCACTTAGCCTAAGTGATGCTTTTCGTGGCAGCTTCTCTCAGCTCATAATCTGTCAGATTTCATTTTTTCAAAGGCACTGGGAAAACCCTGGCTCTGAGATATGTCAATATAAAAACTGTTAAGGATGGAAACAAATCACGACCATGAGCTTCCACTCTTACAAGGACAGGCCAATGGTGCATCCAACAATACCAATGCTACCAACACCAACAATAGTGTTGACGAGGATGATTTGATTGAGTCTGAGCTTGGGTCTGAGATTGACCATGTCATAGGAGCAGTTGTTGACTCCGAAGAAAAGAAGAAAGAGAAGCAACGTGAGCACACAAAACAGCATGACAGAAAGCGGAAAAAAGAAAATATTACAGCATCTACAGGTCTATGCATTTTGATTCTAGTGTATATCATGGTCTTGCCGATCGAATCAACAGTGTGTTTTCATCATTGCGAACCAATGATCATGTTAAATTTTTTCCATCATTGAAGTGACAAGGATTAATCAACAACCGAAGAAAATGCGATAATCTCTTGTCAAGTTTCAGACTTCCACGATATTATTTCACATTTCAAGTTCAAGCAACTACTGACTCGTGGAGAAACTAGTTTATCACAATCCGCAATGGGACCAGCATGGTGTTTGCAACCACGTTGCAGCTTAGGAAGGTACCATCGATTATGCTGGGAAGACCAATAGACATTGAAATAGAAAGGACATTTCTCGTCGTCGCCTTTGATGGGACGTGATGTTTTGTGAATCGTTCCTTCCTCAATTTTCTTTTTGCTGCGTTGTGATTGCTTGGTGGAATTTGAAACAGCAGCAATACCAGTAGACGAGTCTTTGTTGTATCTAAAACGAGCACATACAAATTTGATGTTGTGACGTTTTTTCTCATACCCTTTCATCACTATAAGGAATCCTTGCTCACGACATGCTTTGACAAAATGTGGGCCAAGCATAGTTTCGCGCCATATGCTTGAGTTTTGGTTGAATTCTTTGGGCAGCTGGTAGACTGTGCTGTCGTCTGGGTTTTTTGGATTATTCACACCATAGCCAAGGGTGGAAGCCAGATTAATAGTATGAGTGGTGTCATCTTCCAGGGAAGTTGCAACCTGAATTCGAATCTCTGTTGTAACCCAATTAAACTCTTTCTTGTGAAGCTCTTTGAGCAGTTCACATGAAGCTGAAAGTGGGGGCATGATGGGTGATAGTTGTGTCTCTCCTTGTGGCTGTGTGTGTGCTTGTTGCAGGGACTTGTTGTGTTGTGCTGTTGAGGAGACTTGAGACTTGTGCTGTTGAGGAGCCTCGGAGAGCATCACTTAGCCTAAGTGTTTTGCTTAGCCTAAGTGAGTTGATTAGTATGGCTTAGCCTAAGTGTTTCGCTTAGCCTAAGTGAGTTGCTTAGTATGGCTTAGCCTAAGTGTATTGCTTAGCCTAAGTGAAACACTTAGCCTAAGTGTATTGCTTAGGCTAAGTGTTTTACTTAGCCTAAGTGGATTTTCGAGCACTTAGCCTAAGTGAAAATTTGTGAGGGACAAATCACGCTACCCAGTAGCTACTATTTAAAGCAGCTGCAGATATCAGATTCTGATATCTACCGGTTTGTAGCTGTTACGAACAGAAATGAAGGCTCTTTGGACTCAGTGACACCTGCTTTGTCTAGCTCTTTGTCTTTGTCCTGTGAATTTTGTACTGTACTGTTCTACGATTGTCACTTCCCAAAGCATGCAAGACCCAAGCTCCAGGGATGGTCCAACAGCGAGAATATTGGGCCATTCTCGCTGTTGGACCGTTGGACCATCCCTAGCAAGAGCCGCCCAGGATAGTTCAGCCGCGTTTCAAAACACCCGGTGGTCTTCCTGTCCTCTCATGAGCTCTCGTGATCACGTCTATTTTGTGCGTACCGGTATCAGTACCGGTGTTAGCTGAAGTGGGCATCATTGGGCACCATGGCGTTTCGATAGCCGCTGGATGGCTCAAGTTTACTATTGCGGGATTGTGAACCGCCACTGTGTCCACAACCATCTAATATCTGCTGCAGTGTATTGCTTTTCTGTTCGAGTGGCTGATCAGGGCACGTGGACAACACATTCGAAGCTACTACAGTAGTACCTGGTAGTACCAGGTACCGTATCGGAACACAGGTGAGCGCAGACCTTCAGTGCGGACATTCCGATGGGTGGTTGCACGCACCTCAATGGCTGAATTGCTGCACAGAAGCAACTCTGGCTGCCTGGCTGGTTGGTCAAGATACAATTTCCTCTTGGTCGTCTCTGTTTAATCCGCTCTCGTGCTCTCTTCGCTCTTGACCGAGGGTTGGGCAATGGGCGATGGTTGGCAACTGATGATGGAGCTGCCTTCCGTCTGGACCGCCACTAGCTAGTACCAATACGCAGCCACCACCAATACGGCAGTACGATAGGGCGGGACGAAACAAGAACCACGATACATCGCTTGCTGCCAACCTAGTAGCTATCTATCAAAGCAGGCAGCCAGATCACCTGCGGAACCTGTAAGCGTCTTTCTTGCTTTTGCAGTGATGTTTTGCGGGGAACAGCCTGTTGGCCTTTTGATAGAGCGAACACAGATTGGCGCGTGAGTCCTTGTCATCTGGCCAGCCATCTAGCAAGTAGAGTAAAATCGCTCAGTCTGCGCGACCCCTTGTTCGTCTGGGTTGCTTGGAGACTAGTACGGTAGCAGGCGGGGGTCGCTCGTGCACTGAGAGCCGAGCTCTGATTTCTAATCAAAAGGTGAGCAACAGGTCGCCACTTGCAACTTGGTTCTCCAGCTGGTGTAGCCTCCCAGCCATCAATCCATGGGCTCAGGTGTTCAGCTTGAAGGTATATTGCAAGGAGCAGCCCTTATCCACGTCCACCAGGCCAAACTTCGCTGAACGATGAACCTTCGCTTGACCCCGCAGGTTGGCCACTGTGTCGGTCGCATCCGCAGGGCCACACCGAGAAGCGGGACCGGACTTGAAGCCCAGCCAAGTGACACCGGACGATGGCTGGGTGCACCACCGTGAATGATGGAAGTCCGTCCAATAGGACCACAATCATACCAGGAACTTCCTAGAAGTCCTCACCTGGCTTGCCACCGTAGCTAGCTAGTACATGTATTTGCTGTTGTAGAACAACTATCACTTCAACCTCAAACTCCTCGGCAGCTACCAGCCCTGGTTTCCAAGGTGATGAGACTTTCTTTCGTTGAAGCAGCGATGGGTGCTGGCAGCTTTGCCACGTCCAAGCCGTCAATTGCAACGAAGGAAGGTAGATCGCCTTTGGTGTTTGACACTGTGTTTTCACATCAGGTGGTGATTGCAGTGATACGTTGCCCTTGGCGGTGCGTTGTTTGCGGTGGCCGGTTCACTTGAAGTCCGCTGCGACCCAAGTTTCAGGGATAGATGTAGTGCCTCTTTTTTTAATTACGCTTCGTGGTGAGCTATAGTTCTTCCTGGTGGCGAGATTGTGTGCATTCAAGTGGTTGTTGTTCCTGATAAAGCCCGAGTGACTCAGTCGGAAAGCCCGACTACGTGTCGAAACTGTACAATTTAGAAGTTGCCGCAAAATGGTGCTCGCTCATTGAGACGTCGTTATGGCTTGATTTGGTTCGAATAAGTAGCAAGGCAACCAGCCGCGGCTGCAAGAATTTGATGGATTTATCAAATCAAGCATCAAGGCAAACTGTTCCGTGTACCGACGTTGCCCCTGAGGTGAGAAACTAAAACCGGTACTGGCACCGTACATAGGCCGGCCACTTTAGAAATCTTTCCCACCCGAGACTTGAGGCTCCACTTTACCTACCTGGTACCTTTGGGCCACTTGATATTTTCCTGCTCACAATTTCATTTGTTTGACGAACTCAGCCACTGAATCGCAGAAATTTTTCTCGTTTGATTGTTTGTTTGTTAATCTTTCTCGTCCTTTTACTCGATCACCACAATGGCAAGTCCTTTTTTGAATCCTCATCCGCGTCAGTTGTACGTTGTACACTGTTTCGATGGCCCATCTGCAACCGAACGGTTGTCGTCGGTGGCGGATCCTGCACCAAACAGTCCAAACCACCGACGCATGTGCGGAGTTCACAGAGTCGAGTGTTACGAAGAGCATGTTGCCTATCAACTGAGTACATCAAAACCCAAGCATGACTGTTTTATACAGAAGGTTGCTGCCGCGCCCAAGTTGGCAAAAGATGGCCTTACAATTGTTGGTTCAAGCTTCCTCCTACGGGGTACCCAAGAGGAGTGCAGTCGGTTCATTCAGAACGATCCATACTACAAGAAGAGTGTTTGGGCATCTGTCTCAATTCAGAGGTACCTGGATAGTAGTTCTACCGGGAGAGCCTTTCCACCCACGAAGCTCTTGCATCCGGTCCCTGTGAAGAGAACATACGGAATCCAGCCCATTCAAGGAGATCAAATCAACGGTGCCTTGCAACTCCATGCCGGCACGGCATAGGTCCACAACTCGAACGGTGAACGATACTTTCCTCAAGAGTGGTTGTTCTCTTTCACATAAATATATAACTGCTGCTGCTCTATTTGATCCATTGGGAACCAGTGAGTGCCATGAGATGTTCCCGTAGCTACCTGCTAGTTGATTCCTTCGTTTCCTTGGGGGGTGGGGGGTTACAGACCAGTTCTGTACGATGTGCGGCTGCCAGCAAACAAACAAGAAAAGCCCTTCGCTTTTCCAGTTTCGGGGGAAAAAGGCAAATTTGACTTCCACCAAGTGTGACCGGAGCGCGGATGGGAGAGAACTTGCGACTCAACTGAGACTGGATTGAATCAGTCGATTCAATTCTGATTCACTACTTTTACACCCAGTTGAGCTACTAGCTAGTAGCTAGCTTTATTGCAGTCTTATACCGGTACCTGTAGTCACCTCTTTCCCCAGCGATGCTGGCGGTACCGGTGGTACGGCCCGGAGCTCATTGCGTCCACTAGGTAGTACACGTATTTGCCATGGTCGTCTGCAAGCAATGTTGTTTTGGCAGTACGGTAATCAAGTACGCTGGTTTGGGAGCACAAAGATCTAGCGATCATGAGTCGAATCCAAGGAAAACTGAAGAGCACTGTCAGGTTTCTCTCTTGGCTCACACCGAGTTGGCATGAACGCCACATGGGACGCAGATGGAGGATCTATTAGTGAACAGCACAGCAATGCTGTACCGTGTCCAGCTAGAAAGTTCAAGCCATGTCGCACGAATTCTTGATACATCCCCCCGTTGGCCGTATGTTCTCTTGAATTAATAAATAATGAGACTTTGAATTAGAATGTCCAATACGCCGTAGTATTTAGTAGTCCGTTCATTGCTTGTCTTTGGGTGCACGTTCCAAGCACTTTTTGCAAGGAAGCTTGTAGCCCAGAAACGATGCTCGTCCTTGTTCCGTCAATACCCAGGGTCTTTCCACCATCGGGGGATTGTGTCTTACATGCTGGAAATGCCCACATTCCAGCTCGGCTACCCAATCCTGAAACTCGTCTTGATGGAATGACACCATGGCTTTTCTGGGTGGTGCCTGTACATTATTGTTGTTGGCAGCAGCAGCATCATTGTTGTCGCCACTGGAAAAAGACTGCAAAAGTCTCGTCGAACCAAAGGAGGAACGACGTTGTTGGACCACGAGAGGCTCCATGCTGCGAAGAGGACGCTCGCCTCCAAGGAGTCGCAGAGGTAGCAATAGCAAGGGTGCTCTCATGGTGTCATCTTTGTCACTCCAAGGTTTTGATTTGGGTCGAATGTTGCGCACGCCTGCCACCTCCAAGAATTTCATTCCAAACGAAAATTCTCTTTTTTCTCTCGCCAATTTTACATCATTTTTGTGCCACGTTGCCAGCCTTTTTGCTTTTTCCTTCCCTTTCTCTCGTTTCAAATTTGTACTTGTGTCGATACTCCCTTCCAGAGCACTCAATCAACCAAGTACGCATTTCGACAATGCCTCCTATTGCAGCATCTTCTCGAGGTGGTGGTATGATGAGCCTGAACAGTGGTATGATGAGTAGTAGCAGTAGTGGTGGTGGTAGCGCTTTCGGTAGTGCGAGTGCCTTTGATGGTGACGGCAAAAAGACGAAAAGTCGGAACAACTTTTTCAATGGCTTGTTTTCTCATCGACCCAGGCGACAGCAGCAACAACAAGAATCACAGCCGTCAGATGGCTGGATGTCTCTCTTGCAAGAGGACTTGCGAGGCATGGTGATGAAACTGTCACGACACGCAGCGCCACACGACCCATCCATGATTCACGCCGCCAGCTTTGTAGGTTCGGTGGTGTTGCTTTGTGTGGTGATGTTTGCCGTCATTTGGAAGCTCTCCTCCAAAAAGAACCCTTCCAAGGAGCAGCAGCAGCGCCCTGTCATGACTCCAAGTCAGCAACAAGAATACGAGAGTTTGATTTTGGCGTTGCAGGAAGAGCTGCAAGCCAAGAGCGTCCACGAAACGGAGCAGGCGATCCGATGGAGACATGAAAAGAAAATCCTGCAATCGCGCATGGAACAGATGGTGCACCGACAGCACGCCTCACGGGCTTTTGTGGGACGTGATGATGAAGACGAAGAAGAGACCACGGCAGACTACAACAATATTTCCTCCACTGCCGCTCTACAGAATCTGCACGACCAAGTGAGAGCTTTGACGACTCTGTCTCGAGAACAAGCCCAACAATTGGATTCCAAACAACACCAAATTGAAAAGTTGCAAAATGTCATGGAAGAAATGCAACAACAATTGGGCGGCGGCACAACGGAGGCAGAGACCCACAACAAGAACTGGAGCATTGTCAGCACCGACGATGACGACGACGACAACGATCACCAACCACACCACGAAGAAATGGATGGAACGTCGCACGATCAAATTGTGCAACGTCTCCTCTCCAACATTGCCCGACAACCCAATCACGTCCAAGAAGAACTCGAACTCCAGCTCTCCAAACGACGACTCTCCAAACAGTCCCACAGTACTCCTCTCACGACACTCGAAGACGACGCCAATCATCATCATTTCGACATTGACACGGACGATAGTAGTGACGCCTCATCTGTGGGATCCACTTCGGACGTTCTCTCCGATGCCTCTTCTTCCGACGAAGAACCAATCGTCGACGACAAAAATACGCTCGCCAACAATAATAAACTGGTGCTGCTCCAAAGTACCATGCCCGGCAATCTACAAGTCTCCATGCATCAATCACGATTGGAAGCCATTTTTCGACACGGATTGAAACTCTCCACAGACTGCCTGGAAATTCTCGATGGATGCAATCCCGGTACGTAAAAGTAGAGTAGAAGGACATGGCGTGTCTCGCAAAAACCGACTGTAATGAGGACTGCCGCTCACTAATCGCTTTGCTTTTTCTCGAATCGCCTACCCAGAGTTGCACCAACTGCGCAGCGATCTGTTTCGAATCAGTGGATTGCATGCCGTCTATCCACAGGTCTTTTTGATTGAGGGTGGTTCTGATATTCAATTTCTGGGTGACTTTGAGACCGTCTTGGAATTGCATGATTCACGACAATTGCCAGAACGAATCGGGTTGGTATTGTAAACTGCAAGGTTTCCAGAGAACCAAATGAAAGAAGCAAATCGAAAAAGAATCATCAATCTACTGCAAACAAGGGAGGGAGAGACGAAGAAAAGCAGGCACTCGATAGGGCTCTGCAGAAGAACTTTCAGATACTGGACATGTAACCAAGGCTCTGTTCAGCTGCTGATTGACCTCCCTCCTATATTAGCTACAGGGGTAACGCCGCGAAAAAATACTATAGCAGCGTATTGTAGACGGCAACTTCTCTTCGTTTGCTTGTTTCGATTACGTTTACTCTCTCTCAAGAAGAGAAATCCAACTCCACGCAGAGGCTGAGGTTGCAGAAGCTTGGCTCGCTGTACCGTACTGTGCCCAGTAGCTATCCGGAATGGCAAAAATAAAACTCTTCAACACGATCATTCGACTGTACCAGGTACCACTAGCTAGCCGCAGCAACGGCGAAGAACATTGAAGCATCACGCATTCTAAAGATTGAACGATGTGGCGCCTCGGTGCCCATCCTTCCCGCGAACGGAGGCCACCGTTGAGCACCGCCCGACCAGACGTAGCTACCGGTACTAGTACATGCTGTCCAACGGTGCAATCCGTGGCGGAGGAGGGTGCTGAGAGTGCATCTCCGCCGATCCGGGTGCTTATTGTCTCCACCAGAATGTCATTTGGATGTGCACAGAGTGTCGTTGTAGGGAATAATTGAAGATAAGGGAGATGTCTTGTCTACAAAGCAATACGTTCTGTAAACGTTCTCTAAACTGTGGGTCAATATCTAAACAAAATTCGTGTTTGAAGTCAACTTCGCAACCAGACATACGGTGAGCAACGTTGTTGGGGAGCATCCTGTAAGCAACAAACTTCGTGTTTGAAGTCAACTTCCCGACAAGACGGACGGCGAGCAACATTGGGCAGCGTCGACATTTACATGTAGGTCTCCTGTACTGCACTTCTCTGTTAGTTGCAGGCTTGGAATCCTGAAAGATTGACCCTGTTGCACCAGTGACCTTCAAATCAACAGTTTTCACCTGATCCCATCCCTGCAGGACCGCTGTTGACACTGCAATGACTGACACTCATCATCGTAGGAACAGTAATGGCCAGCTGTCCAACGGGCAACGGGAATGGGCCAGCAGTCTCTTGTCAACATGGCTGTGACGCGCTCCAAATAAATTTCACGTTCATGAAGATCCAAGTCACAGGGAAATCGACATGAATTGTCATCCAAGGGGGAAGACAAGGGAAAATTGACATCGTCCAACAACATGGGAGTCCCAATGTGGCGTTCATTGAAGATGTTGATTTGGAAAGGGGCATAGTCGTATCTACGGCCAATGTTCGTGTTGAGGAATCGAAAGTACCGGGATGGATCGGGAGCTGTACACTTTTGGCTTCTCACAATGGCTCGGGGATTTCCAAATGTAATGATCTCAATGGGATCTAACTCAATCAAATCAATGGACGCCACGATAGCCTATTGTTGATGGTTGTGTTGTTCCAAGCCAGGTACGCACAAAGTGTTAGCAGCAAAACGTGTAGTTGAATTGCCAACCTCAAAGCCTGTATGGCTGTCTGTACCACTTACCGCGGCTCCACCCTGTTCATATCAAATGAAGCATGTTCACATAATGCAACTGAGAAAAACGCAATCCAAGCAGGAAGCCTTCCACTGGCGCAATGATTCACTTACTTGAGAGTGTCCTCCGAAAATCATGTCGCATCCCCCATCGCAAATGGCCAGGCACTTGTTCAAAGCTGCTCTAAATTTTGTGTAGAATTTAATTGATTTGTAAGCTGCCCAGAAGCCTCTTCGAACAATGCAGTTGGTATTAGGGATTTGAATGGTGAAAGGATTGATGTTTTGCCACTGGAGATAATGTTTGATTGACGAAAGGTAAGCGGAACTGCTGCCACTTGATGCCGCTGCTTGACTTGACACGAGCTACGGCACTCACCTGATCTGATGGTTTGCAAATAGCGCAAGTGAAAGATGGCATCAGGAGGACAAACGGATATCTAATGAACATTTGTAATACCGGCAAGAGCACTTACCAAATGGATTGATGCCCTGCACTGAAGAGAATACAGCAAAGCACACATCCATATCAAATGGCTTTGCCACCACTGTTTGATCGTCGATATCGCTCCAACCATCAAAGAACTCCCAGAGCTTTCGCTGTTCTTCAATGTTGTCTTCAATGGGTCCTGAAACTCCTCGATTTGCCAGTGTGGACAGACCCAATGTGTAGTTGGCCCGTCTCATAAATGGTTTGGTGAGACTCAAAACTATATCCTCGGGAGCAGGATACAAGGCAGGGCAGTTGTCTTGACCGCGGCGATGCTGCTGGTTCGTCTTTGAAAAAGGAGATTGAAGCTGAACTGGTGGAGTTAATTCATCAGCAACATCCACTGCGTGACAGCTCAGTGCAAATGATGTGACATGGGATGTTTGTGGGAAAACATTGTCCTTGTGGTGTACCAGATTCCAGTGGATTGTTTCATTGCTGTTTTCATTTGTACCAGTGACGTTAAGAGACATCCAGAAGAGTCGTCCTTCATCAGGACAACTGAAGTCTAGCTTATCCAGCAATGGCAACGTAAACTGGGTTGTCTTGGACGCAATGCTTTTGGCCTGAAGCAGTAGTGAGGGTTCCCCTGGGGTTTGCTGAATTGAAGAAACTTTGGTAATGTTGTCGCCTACCCACAGCCGAGCCGTTTCAAGAAGCCAGTGATCCTCGTTGTCTTCTTCCGCCAAACTAATCACCACTTTGACTTCTTGGTTGTCATGATTATCTCCGTCACTGCTAAGGCATGCCTCAACCGTTTCAGCAGTGTCATGTGTAGCCTTCAGTTTGTAACAAGGTGATAATCCCATGTTCACATGGATCCCTGGCATTGTGGCGGCATAACCTCTCACTGCCAGCAGCCCCAACAGGACGAGGAAGGAGATACAGTACCGGTGCATCATCGTTAATGTACTTCCATTGCTGGCCAGCTGTCGGTTGATCATGGAGAATGAAGTGGATTGTATGAAAAAAATGAAGGTCGAAGCTGCCTACGTCTATGTAACCATAGCAGGGTAACTCACCGGTCAGTTGGCATAAAATCTCAAACCTTGAAAGAGGACCTGTGCACCTCCATGATCCGAGAGGCAAGCGAGCTCTCCGTAATGGCATTATTGTCCCTTGGTGAAGCATAATAGTCAAGCACTTCATTTGTTTCAGTCGCTCTCGCCATCTCACCGTTGCCTAATTACCGTGGGAGTGAGAGATGAAACGGCGAGGTGCGGGAGTCGATTTCAGTTAATTAGAGGTGCGCCCATTCTCCAACCTTCGGATGTCACGCGCTCCAACTAAACACCAAAACAAACTGCGAGTGGCTGTTCCGTTTCTTGCATCGAACATCGAGACAGCTAGCTATGCTTCATGGACTGCTTGTTGTTGGTATTTCATTTATTTGAGTTACAGTGCATTGAATTGAATTGAATTCTGATACTTCGTGTGATACCAGAAGCTTGCTACTCGAGTAATTTGTTTGCCTGCCCACCATGAATACTGTTCTGTCTCGTTCCCAGCGCAAGAGTTTGTACAGAGACTTCGATTGCCTCTGTTCATCACTGGCGGTGAATTGCTGCCAATTCTCCTGTTGCATGCCTGATGTCCCTGCAATCGAATTCCCCTGCACCAACTTGGCCAACCAATGGATGACGGAACTGATCCAACTACGCCCCGAAGTGAAACTACGAGAATTGGTGATTCCTGGCACTCATGATTCGGCATCGTACTCTCTGAGTGCATGGACTCTCTTTTCGGCGGCAGGTCGGACCCAAAATGTGTCCGTCTATGAGCAGTTACTGCGAGGTGCCCGATACTTGGACTTGCGTGTGGCTGGAGCCAGCCAAGACAACAAAGAGGACGTGTACATCTTCCATGGCTGCTTGCGATGTGCCAAGTTGGTGGATGTATTGAAAGAAGTCAAGGACTTTTTGGAGTTGCATCCCCAGGAATTCGTCTTTGTCGAGGTGGTGGCGGAATACGGACGCTTGTTTACGGACGAGCAAAAGTACTACGCTTTGGAATTGGTGCGAGATACCTTTGGAGACCAGATCTACCAAGGCGCCAGCTATCAGCAACTCATGAACAAGTGGACTCTGGCACAGGTAGTGACCGGCCAAAAGAAGAATCTTTGTGTCATGGTGCATCCTCGAATCTACAAGTTTGAAGTCAACGAAGTGGAGTATCTGGAAGACAACATCCAGAGAGAGTTTGGTTTCCCCAACTCGCACAGATGGATGCGGAGTCATTGGCACAACACACGCGACCTCAATCTCATCAAGGATTGGAATCTAACGGAGGTCAAGAAGTACGGTCCGCAAGAGAAGAAGCTGTTGAACAACCAGGTCGTGATGACGCCCGGTATAAGCGGCGCCTTGGATGTTGCCAAGCTCCTATTCGGAGGCAACAGTCTCCGACCCGTCAGCTTTGCCGCGGCTCTCTACAAGAGCGAAGTTCTCGATGTCTTTTTCCGTGACAATGCCGATGAACCCTGGAACATGGTCATGTTTGACTACATTGACTTGACGCCTTCTCTCATTTGCTTCTTGATCAGTCTGAACTTTCCTTCCGGCTTGAAGATTATGAAAGCCGCCGTGACATTGTCACTCGACCATGAGAATGCCACCGACGAGGAGATCCAAAGGGCCGCTCAAGAAGGTAGTTTTGATGTCACCAAGACTGTCCGGTCGTTTGTCAAGCGAAATACCGTCCTGTACCTGACGGATATTCAAAAGGATTTGGAGCTCAAGTCGGACCGAGGAACGTTGACGATTGCGTACAAGATGATTGACAAGAATGGCGCCGATCAATTCTATGTATCGACCATTGACTTTGACCGCGAAACAGAGGTTCTGATCAGTCCCTTTTGCCGCAACGAAGAACAAACGGTCCATAACTGCATCGAGCCACACAAGCATCCCAACGGTGGCTGCGTGAAAGGAGGAAGGATCTGCTGCAAGGAAGACGCGACTGCCCGAGGAGCCGAGACTGTCATTGAGTTTACCACAACGGAGAAAGGCTGCGAGTTTGGAATTTCTCATTGACGAGCAAGCAACTTGGATGACGAAAGTTCGAGTTGAAGATGATGAGTGATGGACACGTCGTATTATACGGTACGTGTAGCTAAGATTGGCTGGTGTTTTGTCACCACATACATATCCAATGGCTGGAAGCATCACAGAAACGACCAAACAAGCAAATCAAGTACAGCACGTGATGCGAGACGTTGGATGGTTGCTGTTGGCAACGATGGCTAGTTGCTTTTCTGTTTCCATGGTAAAAGACCGCTGAAAAAACTGTTTGTATTCTTTACATAAATAACGAGGATGGTAGTAATAATCAAACAAATACATGCAATTCATTTCTACAAGATGAATTGCCTCTCCAGCTAGCTAGTGAGTCTCCTCAAAGAGGTCGTACGGTCGTACTGGTACGTTGTTGCCGTACAGCTTGACGAATGTAGGTACCTGGTGGCTAGCTGCCCAATGGGAGGCTTTACGATTTCTTTGGAAAAGGTCCAATCGAGACAAACCGATGACCGCGGGCCCAACCAAACTATTAGTACGGTGGGAGGAAGCCAGACAGTAAAGTTTCCCCTTCGCTGCGAAAATGAATTGAGTGACAGTCAAGTCGCGTATTATTCAGCTACGGCATCTCATTAAAATTTTCTGAAATATTGTTATTCCTCTACAATGCATAATAATGTATGTACAGTTAGTTCTTTCCATCTCCAATTCTGTTCGTTGTGTTGGCACGGTGTGGTTGGAAGAAGAAGACCTGGAGAGGTTACAACCGTCGGGAAGGGCATCAATTCACTTCGCGTACCCTTGCTCCATCATCGGCACACTCGTGACGTGCGAATTTTTCATGCTGTGTTGCCATTTGTGGTTGCTCTCGATTATTATTGGTGGTACTAGTACATGCTCTCGTTGGTACATGCTCTCGTTGGTGCGTCTTGAAACTCGTTCGTCGTCCTCGTTGTTTTAGCATTCATTCATATTCCTTCTTCTTGTTCTTGTTTATCCATGCCCGAGCGATTGATAGAGCATGCGTCGAATGCAATGGGCACAAAAGGTGGATCCCAACCATACCATGACAAGTAGTACCAATCCCGTTTCCCACGAGACTTGTTGAAAGAGAAACATGGACGTACATCCGAGAATAAAGAGCGGAAGTAGAGCTTCTAGGAAAATCAACAGAATGAGTGCCGTGGCAATCACGGCTTCTTCTTGATGTCCCCACGAGAGTTGCAGTGTCAGTACAAAACTGACCGATAAGAGTGCTACAATTCCAGGAATTCCCCAGACAATGTATTGCGGAATACTGCTCGACCATGTCTCCACCGATGAAGAAGAGGGATGATGGTTCATGAGCAATACGACAAGTGCGGAATGATCGAGATTGTCGCGTATTCGTTCGACACCCAGCAGGACAATGGAGACCTTGTGGAGTGTACTCAACGGAAACGGTGGTGCCGACAATACTTCGGCCCAAATTTCCACAGCGGCGTACGTCCAGTCGAAACAAAACGTGACGCAGTCGACGAGTAACGACGGAATGGGAATTCGAATAGTGGGCGTGGAAGGGAGACAATCCGAGCCGTAAGGTCTCGTCCGTCGCGACGAGTCTTCTAGTTGTTCTGGCGCTTGTTGCTCATTGGGAACGATATCAATCCACATGGACGGATCCGAGTGGACATCGTCTCCTTCGTCTGGGTCACTGTCACTGCTGTCCATGACAGCCTGCAGCCGTTCGGATTGTGCTGCTCGCTGTTCTTGTCTCCTCATGATACTGTCGTGATGACTACTGCTGCTCGCACTGGTGTCACTCGCAGTGGGTCTACTGCTGCTGCTGCTGCTGCTCGTACTGGTGGACATGAGAGGATCCTGCAGAGTGCTGCTGCCACCGCGGGGAAGGCCTTCTCTTGGTCGACGCAGCAACGAAGGAATCACCATGGCTTCCATTAGTTTCTGTGTCCGTGCCGTGCCGGTACTGTACTAACAAGAAAGCAAGAGTGGCGGCAGAATAGCTTGATAATGACAACCGTATCTTCTTTGGATCGTTGACTCCGTACAATGCGGCAATAGAGAAAGGCTGATGAGGTGGTGGCAGTAAGAAGAAGAAACAACAACAAACCAACCAAAATGGGCACAAGTCGACATCAAGTCATCGCTGACGACAACGGCAATTTGGCGTTAGAACGCGACGTGATGCGATCGTGGTCGTACCAGTCCCGTATGCGTGAGAGGTTGGATCAAGGGTGCTTCCTAGGTCATTTGATGCCTGGTATCTCTGCTTTGCTGGCTTTTATTAAGACTGAACCAAGATCCAATCTTTCGTGTGCAGATCCTACCAGGTACCGGTACGGTCAAAATCTACTACTGTACCAGGTACTATCTCACATCATCCTTTATCCATCGAGCTGTGCAGATCATTGATTGGCAGCCAGTACCATACCAGCAGAGAGTTTATTAAAAACAGAAAGCAAACAGCACCATGTGGAGGACGACTCTAGTAGCATCATCATTCTTCTGGTTATCCTTGGTATTATTAGTATCCGGGGAACCAATGACGGAATTTAAATTGGAAGCTCGACCCGAAGGCATCACCAGTGGTCCTGGTTCCACACTCTACGTGTCGCAAATTTTATCGGGCAGTGTATTGGCCATTGACGCCGATACGGGCGAACAAACCACCGCCGTACCTCCCCAACCAGACGGTCGTCAAGCCTGGGGATTGGCGTATCATGACGACATGATTTTGGTCGCCGGTGGAGGACCCAATTTTGGAGGCGGCATTCCGGAAGTTTATGTGTATGATGCCACCACAGGAGATCCCATTGTCACCTGCGAACCCATCTCGCTCAATGAAACCGATCATGGCGCCTTTTTAAATGATATTGCCGTCTTGGGGGATGTCGCCTACATTACCGATTCCTTTGCCAATACCATCATGGCACTCAATCTGACACTCGTCAAACAACAAGGCAATTGTACCGTCTGGGAATTGTACTTGCCCGATCCATTCATTCCACAAAATCCATCCGATTGGGGCGCCAATGGCATTGTCGCCTACGAATTTGACAATGGCGTGTCGGGATTGCTCGTGGCACACGAAATACTCGGATCGGTCTATTCCGTCCAACGCATTGAAGATGATGGAACTCCGCCGCATTATCAAGAAATTATTGGAGAACCCTCGTCGGATATTCCACCCGCATTAGGGGCTGATGGACTCCTCATGGTTGACGGGACGTTGTTGTATGTGACGCAAAATACGGAAAATCAAATTGGAGTTTACAACTTGAGTGCACAAGCCACGGATGGGGTCTTGTCCACGACACCATTGGGTGTCTTGACGTCGCCCCTCTTTGATACACCCGCCGTTTCAGCAGCGTATGATGGATACATTTTTTCCACCAATTCGCGATTCGTGGCGTTGCCAGAAATTTCCGAGGAAGCCGATGACAATGTCGTGGGGGTCAAGAATTTGTATTGTTGTGGCAACACTGCAGTCGACGAAACAATTACAGACGCACCTGCACCAGCAGCCACAACAGAAGCACCCAATGATGGTGAGTCTACTACTAACAACGATGGCACGGCTCAATACAGTTTCACCATTGATTATGCTGACTTTCCCTAATTATACTTATATCAACATTCCATTCATTCATTCCATCAACCCAATTCATCCACCAATCAACACAGGAGGAGGTGGTGGAACTGACGCAACGGCCGCTCCCAGCGGCGCAGATACAACATCAGGTGCCATTGGGTCGATGCAACAACTTCAGGTTATGTCGTTATTGGGTTCCTTTTTTGGTCTCCTTCTTGCCCTACTTTTCTAAACTAAAAACGAACCAACCAATTTTGGGCCGGCTGGCTAGTAGCTGAATGATGTGTGCTTTGTGCTTGTTTGTTGTCGTCTTTGTCCGCCTGTGCCTTGACTCTTGTTAGCAACACAGGAGTTAAGGAACGTAGGGATCATTGTGTATTTGCTTTGTAATCAGCCATAATACCGATTCAGATAGTAATAGAATGAAACCACCCGAGAGGTTCCAATTGCCACTGTCATCACATCCGCCATCAGTCCGTAGGAATTGTGGTAGTTCCTGTGCGTATCCAGATATTCAAAGGGATCTGACTCGTCGTCGTCGTCGTCGTCGCTGTCGTCGCTTACGTCTTCTCGGCCCGCGGGGTCGTCATCATTCTCCGTTGTCCCCGGAAGTCTCAAAACATGAGTTCCATAAAGGAACGTGGCCCCGGGCTCTGCAGCACCCATGAATGCATTCAAAAGGATTCGAATAGATGACAGATATACAGCCTTCCTGGCTGTGCCATAGCAGAGGTTGTTGATACAGTGAAGGCCATACAGTTCCATTCGCTCGTCTTGGGTAATCATGGTGAGGAAGTGGTGCACTCGTGATTCGTCTTGACCCAAAACACACCAGCCACGGGAACGGGTGCTTCCCAAACATCGACCGAAAGCCAGTCCTTGCGAGTCGAAATGACGGGCAGAAGCTTCTGTTCCTTGGACGGAATAGCCCAGGAGGTATCTGTCTGCCAGATAACCAAACTTGTTTTTGGAACTATACTCTCTGCCATGGTCGTCACTGTACATGTAGACACCGTTTTCGATCCTTGCTGTCAAAGGTTTCAAATCGGCAATGAACTTGCAATCAAACTTGTTTGGAGTCCGTACCATGGCCACTTTAGAATCCTGGAGATACGCCGTCAAGACTTGGCTGAGATGGAAATTTTTGCGTTGCTGCCACCAAGAAAAGGTGGACAGTTTCCGCGTTGGTTTGGATTTGGTCTTTCTCCGGCGACCCGTTCGAACTTTGGCTGGCCGTGCCTGTGCAAACTCTACTTTTACGAGAGTGCCTGCATCCAAATATCCGTCTTGGGGCTTCCAGACTCCTTCTACTATAGTCAGCTGTGTCGGATCCACGTCAAAGGCACGTGCGATGCAGCTCATTCTCACATTACCACCTCTTCGCACAAAGAAGGTATCCGGTGGTGGCACTTGGGAGCAACCCGAACCAAGTTTCTGTTGGATCTGTTGCTTCCAAATCGGTTCTCCATCTGTGCTCAACCGGAGACGCCAAGCTTTGGACAACGCAAACAGCACGGAGGTCTCGGGGAACGTCAGGTAGTCCAGTACGTGCGCCAGGGCAAAGGCAGGGAGGGTATTTGCGTCTTTCAGCATCGTTCTTGCGCTTTACGTGTTTGATGAATTCAATTACTTTTTCCCCTTTATCCTCACAAAAGATGGGAGCGAGACGTGGATGTTTAAGTTGGTTAAGCTGCTGAAGATGCAAGACTGATTTGGAAGGTGGATCAGCGCCACGGTTGCCGAGACAAAAACGCACCACCGCACAACATGGGGAGCAAGCGCAAGCACAAACGATGATCGGAAACATTGGGGTAAAGCTAGCTTAAATTCCGAGCTGGAGGCCACGAAAGGAAAGCTCGGTATATAGCATTGTACGTTGTAGTCTCGTCCCGTGTTCATCCCGTATCCACCAGAACCCAGGGAACGGAACAAACAGAGCCCACATAGGCACCGATACGGTACGGTACATGTAGGACCGCCACTAGTTTTTGTTGCAGTAGTACAGATCTACTTTAGTGTCATAACAAGATATCGTCCCATCGCCTTGGTGGCATTGTAGTTCTCTTTTTCTTGTTCTTCCGTCTTCGACCAGTTCGCACCTTGATCGCACCGACGTACTTTAGGCTTTCCACCAGGATGAATGTGCCTCCACCCAGGGGATGACAGTCTGGTTTCCAATTTCGGTCTCGATAGTGGCATCCGTGTCGGTGCACCACCGCCAGCTGGATTGGATCCAGATTCAGTGCCCGCGCAATCATTTCTATGGAGACAACGCCGCCGTTCCAAACTGTGTAACTATCCTTATACTGGCCTCGCTTATTTTAAAAAATAACCATTCCTGCTCAGATGTTCCATCCAGATGGGTTGTCCTTCGACGCTAAGGCGTTGCCACCAAGCCTTGGATAACGTAAACAAGCGGGAAATATCTCCGGAAAGGACAAGTATCCCACAATGTTTGCCAAGGCAAAATCAGGCAGCGAAAGTGGGTCTGTGGAGCTATATGTGGAGCCGTGTGTGGGCATGTGATTTTCTCCCTTTGTGGTCTCTTTTGCTTTGCTTTGCTTTGCTTTGTGGCACAAAGGCTCCCAATCATTGCTTTGTGGCACAAAGGCTCCCAATCATTGGTTGTCGGGGCAAACGTGAGGCGAATTTCAACCAAACACGGTGTTGGACGCCAACGTGTGTCGTGGAAATCGAAGAAAAGCGAATTCATTCGATTTTAATTGAATTGTTCGAATAGATCCAAACACGGATCCAACATCCAACCGGTTTTGATGGCCACCCACCACCCACTGCATTCCTCCTCTCAAAACTCTCATCTTCTCCCACCAACCAGAACGCCATTCTCAGCAACAGGCAGGTGTCGAATAGCGTTCTACTAGTACAGTACCAGCAGAGGATGGGAGTTTTCCTGCCTCTTTTTCAAGTGCTTATTCTGTTGACAGCCAGAAGCAACAGCCACAGGAGTTCAAAGCCGCGTTCTGCCAGTACCAAGGGACCTCCGCCACAAAAATCACCATCAGGTTCTCCCAGGGGTCGTCAACGCTATGCTCCTGGTTCCTCCAAGACTCCACAAAGATCCAATGCAAAAAGATCCGAAAACAGCCAGCATGACAACACCCAAGATGTTCTCCCCGAGATTCCACCGCTGACTAGCCCCGACGGTCCATTTCCCACCTTATTTACATGCCGACACACCTACGAAGACACACTGATGGAAGAAATCAGCAGACATGACCTCCCCTCTGTGCATACGACGTCACCGTGTCCCGGATTGGTCTACGTCGAGGGGTTATTGGATGATGATTCTTCTGCGGCAATATTGACCGATCCAGTCTATGCACTCCAATCATTGCCCAACTGCCGCATTCTCGAGTGTCAAAATTCCATCAAGGGGCTGGCACGAGCCATTGCTGAAACACCGGCCTTTTGTGACCTGCTGGCAGCGTCACCGAGAGGGTCCTTGGCGTCCATTCACGCCATTGTCCCTGGCATGTGCAAGGGACAAAAAGATCCCATCTGGCAACGACGGTCTCATTTGGTGGCCGATGCCGTCCTGGAGATTTGGAAGAAGCAATTTCCAGCAGCTCGTAAACAACCATCATCAGAAGAAACGAATCAGGAAACGAAGTTACCGGTGTTATTGCTGCAAATCCTCCTCTTGTCTCCGGATGTGGCAGGGGCCTCCTTGGCAGCTTGTAATAATTCACAACAACCATCCACTGGACAACAACGACAACAACACGGTTGGTGGCCCAATCCCCACTATCCCGTGGGCATGGCCCTGGTGGATATCACTACACAAAAAATGCCCAGCTCGGCCTATCGCAAGCTATTGGAAGCCTTGGCCTGTATGGGAACGCAGCCATCCTCGGGAGACACCGTGGTGGACTTGGGTGCTAGTCCCGGCGGTTGGACGGCTGCATTGTTGCTCTTGACTGCGGCCGACATTGTGGCGGTGGATCGTTCTCCACTGGATCCCAAACTCATGAAGAACAATCGCGTCACCTTTATCCAAGGAGATGCCTTTTGCTTCGAGCCGACAACAACAACAGCAACCTGGATGGTAAGCGACATTATTGCCTATCCAGAACGGATTGTCGAGCTAGTGGAGCAATGGTGTGGGTTGGTGCACAACATGGTTGTCACCATGAAATTCCAAGGAACGGCACCTTCCTGGGATGAGTTGGATCGGGCATTGCAAGTCGCAGAATCGAAGGGCTACATGGCACGGGCCAAACACTTTTTCAACAACAAGAATGAAGTCACCCTCATGCTTCAACAACAGCAACACAAAGTCGACAAACGTACTACACTGTCAAGTCCTGCTGCTGATGCTAGTGCCGATACTAGTACCGGTAGTGGGATACCATCCTTCTACAAGCCAGCGTTTGAACGATATTTAAATACAGTAAAGGATTGAATCGAATCATAACCAACGATACCAATGACGGGCAAGGCGACCAGGGGCTACCGGTACGCTGGCTACCAGGTACAGGAACCAAGCGAAGCGCCGAAGGAAGGAGCTTTTGTAGTCAGCTTTCGAGCGAGAAGGCAGGACCACTCATACGCTTGGATACGTGGAGTGCCGGTGCGACCCGAATCCACGTCTGAATCGAAGCATAGGTCTCATGTCTGGCCTGTGTTTCATGAGGTATCATTCTGATTGAGCAGCCTCCATCATCAGAAAAAGGGCAAACGGCACCATGGAAACAGAAACGCTCAATCAGCAGCCTCCCGTTGCCTATACGCCACCAACCTTGTTGGTCTGCGAGGATTGCAAATGCCTTCTCCCCGAAAGCTCGTTCTCACGGACACAACTCCGAAAGCAGTCCAAACCCGCTTGTAGCATATGTTGTTTTCGGCGCAATCAACGAACCATCGCATCGGGGAAGGTCGGCATGCCGAACCACTATTACGGCCCTGGTAGACCCGAGAAGCGAGGCTGTTCCGCATGCGGGTATTGGTCTTGTGCGCACTGCTGGTGTTGGTGGAGCGGCAACCATCGAAAGGGAGGCCGGCAACCGCGGGGAACCCGTCCACCTTCCACACCCAGAACGGGTTGTTCGTCATGCAAGGAGAATCTACCCAAGACAGCGTTTAGCCACTCTGCTTGGAACAAGCGATGCCATGGCGGAGCTCGGTGTCACAAGTGCACAGCCAATTGCTTGCAAGTCATCAAGGGAAGTGTGCAAGACGAAACAAAACGCAACCCTGGAAGGAAGCGTTTTCGAGAAACTAGGAATGCTGGGCCATGGAGGAAGACTTTACTGTGCAGACGACCAGAACGGCCGTGAGTTAGTTGAGAGAGTCAGAGTCAGTCATCGGTGCGTCGGGTTGCTTTCCACGAGAAAAGTTTGAAAGGGCGCCCTCTGTGCTGACTGAATGCGCCCCGGTGCAAGATCTTTCGTTCGTACCGGTGGTACAGTACGAGTGCTTTCGGAGGTGAGGGCCTGCCCGGTTTATTTGTAGCTTTTGAAGGTACCTCCGAAGGGCCTGATGCCCAGACTCCGAAGTCCAGCGCGGCAAAGCATCGCTAGCTGCAGTACCGCTGCCGATATAGTGTCGGATGGGGAGAGTCGAATCATACCGCCAGTTGACTCATCCCACTGGAAATGAAGATCGGGCTGGTGGTCCCAGCTGAATCTGTGGGTTTGGTCCAGTGCGGGCTGGCACAAGAATCAACGAGTAGAGTAGACAACGATTTACTTCGCTTCTTTTGAGAAGCAGGATGTTAATGGACTACCGTGGCAGCTAGCTAGCTAGTATTGGGTTGTTGGGTGCCCCTTTTCTTCGTCGTAGTTCCTCCGGTATTGCCAGTGGTACATCTATTCGGCGCCAGACGCTCGGGTCCTCGCCTTTGAAGCAACTGTAGTAAACCGTAATGGCTGGACATCAACCGGTATTCCATTTTCCGGGTCCTACCATCGCTCACTGACCGGTTCACACTCCCGAGCAACATGGACAAGTTAGCTTGTATGGGTTCTGCCAGTAGAGACGAGGCCTGTCACCAGTTGCTCAATCGTTGTCGCGTTGTAAGCAACGATAGCAACCATTGATTCTGCACAGAGGCAACCGAAACGAGCTGAAGACAAACAACGGTAAACAACGACGACGATGCGAGGTACTCGTAGACATCCTGTTGGCCAACATCATTTGCAAAACCCTTTCCTTCCTGCGGTTCCTGCCACTGTAGATTGCATGCAGCCTCAAATGATGAACGTTTTGATCTGGACAGCTCCTGAACTGCACTCTGGGAACATTATTGATTATCGTATTGATGTTGTTTTTGCAACATCAATGTTTGGTGCAAGCAAGAAACACGCATTTTACAGTGGTACTTCCAGTCTTTTTTCGTTCTATTCTTTGAGCTGATCCTATCTCCCAACTTCCCTTCTCAGACTTAGAGACATGGTAAGAGCAGCTTACGTAGACTGTCTGTTGATAAATCACGATAACAATCGGTACCAGCAGCAACCGTAAGCTTTCTAAACATTTGCCCGAACTTCCTCGGAACCTTCCATCATCCATTCAAAGATCCAGGTACGGTTGTGTACGGTGTACGAGTATTCGTACTACAAAATTTAAATAGAAATCCCATACATGTACATTAATGTATGTCGGGACTGTCCATTAAAGCTTGATTCTCCAAGCTGTTACTGGACTGTCCATACCGGTAAGTACGTCCTGTACGTACTCGAATACGGATTTATGAGCAACTTTACCAATAACTCACTACTATTAACAGTTAACAGTAGCTTTACTAGTTGTAATTTATTTGATACTAACTCATATAATAAAATATTATATTTTACACTCTTTATTATCATCTCTTTATGTACATTGTACATTGTACCGGTACCAGGTAGCGGTGACAGCTATGATAGTACCGGTACTAGTACCGCAACACTGAGTACTAGCTAGCTAGTAGTCTACGCATTACCGCAAAGCTCCATCGTACGACTGTAGTTCTTCAAAGCTGCAAAAGCTGCATGGATTCTTCTTGCCGTTTCGAAAGAAAAAAGAGTCAAGTAAAGTTCATAAGTGTATGAGCTTTAGAACTATTTCTTGGGTCTTCTTGCGAATTCGATTGTTGCTCTTTCCTTTCCCTTTGCCCCTCACTGCACCCTACTTTATATCTCTTTTCTCCAACTACAACTAAAATGTCTGTAAGAGCTCTGCGAGCGACATCTCATTCTCCGATCCTAGATCTGCTGGGCTGATGGGTGGCAGCTTGGGTTGCCTTGCTGCAGCTCTATTGATTTTGCCAGATTTGGGGCAATAGTCTACCAATACATGTAATGTCGTAGGATTATGGATTATTGTACCCTGCTATCCAGCCATGGCGGTGTTGGGTGGCTTCTACATGTACCGGTAGGCCAGTGGCCAGTTTCTATGATCATGATGTATGTGATCAAGGAACAGACTGGAGTTGAGACTTAAAGAACTGGAGCTGAGACATAGACGTCACTGGTAGTCTACCAAGGAAGGAATCGAATTCTGAAATTCTGCAGGGCTTTTGGAATCTGGCGTGGGAAACTGAGTCTGGGACTTGTGAACAGTGGTTTCTGACAGCTTTTCTGACGATTCGATTCGATTGAATTCATTGAAGCTGTCTAACCTCGCCGCTCGAGATCACCCTTCCCTCACAAAACCAAAAAGCTCAAAATCCAAACTTGCCCATCTAACCAAGCACCAATACCACATACAAAACTAACCAAGCAATGTGCCAAGCTGCCGCCGCCACCATGGACAACTCTGACCTCATGCAGAGACGATGCAAGGGTATCCTGAAGCAGCGCACTCTCGAAGACTCGCTCAATGATGGATCTTCTGGACGTCGCCGCATGCCCAAACGATCCATCTCCTTTGACCAAGTGGAGATTCGAAAACACCGAATCATCTTGGATGCCCCAAGCACAGGCACCTCTGCCAAGAACGAACCCGTTTCCGCACCTCTCACCGTCTCCTGGAAGCCCATCTCCACAGATGTTGTCACACTGCTCGAGTACGAGTGCATCCGCCCGGCATCACGGGGCACCGATGTCCGCAGATTCACTACCGAAGAACGAGTGGCTGTCCTTAGGAGTGCTGGATACTCTATTGAACAAATTTGCGGGCTGAGCAAGCCACGGCAAAAGGGGGCTTCTGCTGCCAAGTGCGCCAAGTGCGAGACGTGTGCTCAGAAGTCGAAGAAGCCAGAAAAGACTCTTTTAGCTCGCGTCCGAAGGGCTACCAAGAAAATGACCATGGGCAACGATGCGGCTCGAACGAGCCTCTCCAGCACTGCGGCATAGAACGTACAAGTCGCTGGCACTTGAAACCTCCTGAACCTTAGAGCTATCCTCCTCTCACTTCCCAGTTCGCAAAGTCGAATCGAATCGAATCAAATCTTAGAATATGCTACACATGACATCTATCTAGAAACGAATTAGGTCTTCATCATGATATGACAAAGAACAACTGGAATCTACTAGCTAGCTAGCCTGAGGCGGATATCCCAGCCACGTTGCCAAGCCAGCCGCTGCTACCTGGAACCTCGAGCTGCGTTGCTCGAGGATCGCGCGCCTCCATCTCTCTCCTCATGTCCTCCGGGTGCCTAATGCTCTCCAGGCGTTGTTTACATCAGCATCATGTTCTCCGGCCTGTCAGATGATGTTTCCGGTGGTCGCACCGCAAGATGCCCTTGCGAAAAGAGAAAGACCAGCCAAGCGAGACGTAACGCATAATTGCTTGCCATACCCCAGCAGGCTGGTAGCGGTGCTGACTCAGGCGACCAGGAATAAGAAGTCGGCAACAAGGCCACCACCGGAATAAGAAGTCAGCAACACGGCCATCAGGCGACTTTCCTGGCTAACCATCTGCAGCATCGCTTCTCTGTGGAAGGTACCTTGCCTTGATGAGCGCCATGCAGCTTCTTTTGGTAACCGCATCTGTATTGCCAATGATCAGTACCGGTACGTTACATTTGCGCAGCCGTACCGATTGTCCCCCAAACCAAATCTGGTGCACTGTCATCAGTGCCCAATGCCCTTTGCGCTGTGCCACACCAACAATTCATCAACAGTGAAGCTCAATTTTGTTTCTTATCACATTACTAGTTGTACGGTGTAGTGTAATTACCCAAAAGGTGATTTTTTTTCAGAGGAACAGCACAAAGCACAATTCTGGGAGATGCATTGCACTGTGCAGCTTTACACTGGACACGGATCACAACTGCACCCGCACGGACTAGTCCCACGACAAGCTGACAAGGTGGCGGTTGCTACTTTATAGCAATCCCCCCCATAACACTTGAGTTCTTGTGGGGGGAGTATTGCAGAGCAAAGATTTGAAGGAATACTGCCCGACAAAGATGTGTTCATGACTACCAAACTGGTCCGATTGTCCATCAATTCCAGCTCGGTGGGCAGTGTGCTGGAGAGATTGGTATTATACAGTTGTACCATCTTCTGGAGGCTTGACAGAAGGCCAACCTCAGAGGGAATGCTACCTGAGAACCAATTGCCATTGATGCTAAAAACCTGCAATTGGGTGAGTTGGGAAAACAGACTTTGTTCCAGTTTGCCTTCTATCTGGTTGGATTCAATGTCCAAGATTTTCAAGATTTTCAACTCTGAATCAGAAACAGCCAGATGGATGTTAGAAGCAAAATCGGCCCTCACCAATTCTGTAACTGATCATTACTCAGCAGACAACTTCAAAAACTCCATTGGTAAAGCGCCTACAATAGCATTCTCATGCAACCTCAGGTTGGTCTGCAGGGGTCTGGGGCAACTTTCTTATTAGTGCCCACAGAAACAACAACTACAACATCAAGATCTGTGGTGACTTACAAGCTTTGTCAGAAATCCAACTTCGCTTGGAAGGGTGCCATTGAGTTGAAAGTCAAGCAAAGCCAAGGAAGATAGGTTCGTCAGCCTGCCAATTTCAGCTGTCAAGTCAAACAAAGTCGTGTCAGAAACCAAGTAAGCAACCAGCTTGTGCAGCCAAACAATCAAGTTGTTTACTCTTGCTTGGGACTGATATGAACCTGCCAGATTTTCGATGGTCTAGACCAAGCACTTCTAGCTTGTGCATGCTTCTGACCACCCCATGGAGGACAGATTTTGTCTCCAGCCCAGGGCATTCAAAGACTCCGAAGGTCTGAAGGTTTGACAATAGAAACATTTCACTGGGGAAGGACCCTATAGTGACATGGAAGATCTGAGTCAATAGAAGAACCCTCAACAGTTGCATTTGGCCATTTTTCAAAAACTGTGTACATACCTGAGAGATTTGTGCCTTCGAACACTAACCAAATCAAGCTGCTGAGGTTGCCAAGCTCCGAAGGTACAGTCCCGCCAATCTTACTGTGATTAATGAGAAGGGATTCTAAACTTTGCAGCTGACCCGTTTCCGAGGGAACTGTGCCAGACAAGCTTGTTCGATCAAATCTCATTACTGTCAGCCTTGTCATCAGTCCAACTTCTGTAGGAATGATTCCTTTGAGTTGATAGTTTGAACTTATACTGAATAACTGCAAGGTTGTTGCCAGCAAAGAAAGCCTGGTGGTAATGTTCCATCCAAGTTGTTGGTAGACCCAAATTGCAACGACTGAGATGACCAAAGTCATCACAGGTTGGGACTAGCTTCACCATTTTGGAAGCTAGCTGTTCCCACTGACACTCATTGATGTCCCAATCTAACCAGCCTGATTATTCACCCAATTGTCACCCTTTGTGGAATAGTAGAATGTGGCCAGTGCAAACCTTTGTGTCAGTCTCCACTCTGGAAGATGATGGGAAATGTTGTGGTTGTTGTCATATCTGCTCAGCCATTGATATGCCTTGGACTGTGGAGACCTGGTATTTTCCATAGCCCTGAGCGTATAACTGGGGAGCTTGAGCCTATCCATTAGCACTGAGGGTTCTTCAGGGATTGCAGCGGTATTTTCAACTGGTATTCCATCAATCGGCACAACTCCATGTTGCTGCTTTGGTGACTTTGGAGGGGTATTTGTTTCCGCACAAGCGAGAAAAGCTACAAGGATAATTGCAACAAGCAGTTCGGCACACACTGCTTCCACGGAGAATAAGAGACAAAGTTTCTTCCTCTCATGTCGTTTCGACCTTTCTGTTAATGGTTCAGCTGTTTGGACATTCCCTTGTTCAGATGGCTCTTCGATTGGTTCCGCATGGATAAGGATTCGATCTTCCGTTTCATTCTGGGTTGTTGATTCTAATCGTGCCTCTTCCACAACAGCTGGCCTTGGGTGACGAAACACGGGTCTAACTCTCGCCAATGCATATGCCCCTGGTTGTGTCTCTCCGACTCTTCCTGCCCGGCGAAATTCCAGTGAAGAAGTGGTTGGCAATGGTTCGATGTCACCCATGATATCAAAATCATGAAAAGAGCCAATATGCGGGAGGGGACTTCTAGCACATGGATGTTTCTTCTCCACGTCTGCCTCGTCCGTATGCTTCTGCTGCCCCATCCCGTCTGCTTTCTTTCGTGGCTCCCCCTCAATGTCAACAGAACTCCCAGGCTCATGATGCTGGATGCTGGCATGTTGTTGATCATGTTGTTCGCCAAGAGCGTCACACCGCTGTTGCTTCGTGAATGTCAGCTCCATCATTGTTTCGGCAGTCCATGTAGATTGAATCGATTCGGTTTGATTCATTCAATGAATTATTAATGCTGCAGCGTCGATCCTTCGGAGTTATCTCAATCATCTCATCATCTCAACATCCCTCTGCTGCTTGCTTGCCAGCCAGTTTGCTGCATTCAAGATTGGAGACGTGAACCCCTCACCCCTCATATTAAGCCAGTACTAGTATGAGCTGTGCAATTGATGGTACCGGTGCGATGGTACGAACCTGTACAAGCTGACAACTATTAACTTTTAAAATAGTAGAGTAGCGAGTTCAAGAAGGCAACATGGGGCCAAGTTTTGGTTCTCTGGCTCTAGCTAGCTAGCAAATTAGTTATCTGTAGCTAGTTAGTTAGAAACCAGGGCTGATACGTTGATTTCAGCAACGATCCTGATCAGCAGCCAGAGTGTCAAGGGCCGAGCATCAGTTCTCGCCACTGAAAATTCAACGATCTGCCAAAGTAGCTACATTGGTCGGCTGCTTGCTGGCTAGCCAGAGCTGGCAAACAGCAACATGCAACCGTACCAAGCACCATTCTGCATGAAATATCTCTTTTACTCCAACAAAGATTCGCTCTTTCATTCCCGTGGACAGGGCCTTATCGGGACAACTCTCAGGCTGGAATTGGATATTGTGGGCGAACCGGTACCGTAGCTGGCCAATTCGAAGTGCGGCATTAAGTCTCAAGCTCAAAGAATGCCCTGCCCTTGCCTCCAAGATCAATCAATAGTCAAAAAGCACCAATCAATAGTCAAAAAGCACCCCTTCGCCATGACTGACGACTGATTCAATCCGAAGTCTTGGTTTGGCAAAGCAGTGCACAGTGCACAGACCCAACTTCGATCAATAGTGCATACATGTAAAGTACCGTAGTCAAAATTAATAGCACCCCGCATTCGTCCATTATGATTGATTGAATCAATCATTCAATCCGAACTCTCGATTTGGCAAAATGCACAGATTCAACTTCGACATGCCCCCAAAGCTCGAAGCCCATGAAAGCCTTCTCAAGAAATGTGCAACCTCTTTAAGTTAAAACTTCCCTTCCCTACCGGTATGCCCAACAAGTTGCATACCCCCGTGCGATCATTGAGCCATTGAGCATTGGTTGCATACTCTTGCTGCTTCCATCTTCGATTCGATTCCGTCACTCTATCCCTTTGCGCAATGCTTTCCTTCGATGAAGTTGTCGAGGGGAGGGATACCCGTACGGGTACCTGTTACCGCACCCGTACAGTTCTGTGCCACCACTCTCTGCACGTAGACTAACTTGCCTCTTTGTTAATTGGTAGTGACGTATGTTTGTTGACTCGAACCATGGACACTTACGACAACGAATGCATGAATTGAAGGGGAAGCTGCTGTACTCTTTGACTGATAGAAAAAGAATGCTTGGTGAATAAGTAGTGTCCCCTGTTCCACCAAGATTCACCATTAGGTCAATTGACTCCTAAACGCATTAGTGCTTTTTGACAGAACAGCTCAGATCCACGCCATTCAAGATTGACTTCTTTTGGGCTCGTCTAATAGCACATAGCCAGAAGGATTTGGTCTGTACCGTAGCTAGCGAGAGTTAATAGTCTACCCAATCTTCCGCTCAACTTTTTGGTTTGGGGTACCCTGGTGTTGACTGCTCTCATGTGCTGGCTCACTTTGAAGGAATGCTAATGGACTTTAGCTTGTCGTAAGCAACTCTATTATTTCTCCGAATGGACTTTCCCAGTCCAAGCAGTGACCGTGAACCCGTCATGCTAAGTACTGATGTCTCCTTTGCTTCCGAAGAAATTTAAACAAGAACCCTCCTTCACAGCTTCACAGCTTCGCAGCCACGAATTAATAAAATAAATGTGTCAAGCAATCTTTTCATCAGATTCTGTCCTTTTCTCCTCTGTGTGCTTTGGGCGCCTGTGTAAAAGGTCACTCGTTGCGATCGTCATAATCTGCATTCGTTACAACAGCAGCAACAACCACAAGCACACCCAACTACTACGTCTATCAATCAATCTATCTATCTAGCTAACGGTACCACCATGGATGATTCTGAATTGGAATACGAGACCATCTTTTCGGTGATTGACAGTTGGGAGCAGTTGCGCCGCGTCAAGGACTATCAGAATGTGGCTGGAAGTTGTCTGTTTGTCAAGCTGTTTGAGAAATGTCCTCCCGCAAAGGTGCTGTTTGGATTCCCCATCGATATGGATCCACAATCGGAAGAAGTCGGCAAGAGCAAACGATTCCAAACCCATTCTCGTTATATGATTCAAATGCTCGATCGGGCCTTGGGTTTGTTGGGACCCGATGAAGAGCTGCTCCTGGAAATTTTGGAGCGGTGTAAGTGTTTTTAGTTGACTCCTTGTCTGTTCGTTTTGTACATCCTGAACCGTCTTTACTGACTCACTGAGCTGCCTCTCTTTCTATTCCACAGTGGGCAAGACGCATGCTCGAATTGGAGTTCATCCTCAATACTTTCCCTTTATGGAAGAAGCGCTCCTGGAAACACTCCAAGAATGTCTTGGCAGCAACTCATTTACTCCTGAACTCGAGCACAATTGGAAACTGGTCTACGCCGTCTTGTCCGGCAACATTATCAAGGCCATGAATGGCGAACAGCTCGTACTCGAGAGCTGGGCCAAGCTCTCCAAAATGGAAAACTACGAAGAAGAAGCCGGAAAGCTCTTGTTTCAAGAAATGTTTCGACAATGCCCCGAAAGCAAAACGCTCTTTGGTTTCCCCATTGACATGGATATCGATTCCGACGCCATTCTCCGCAGTCGACGATTCAAAACCCATTCCAAGTACTTTATCGAAATGCTAGACCGTGCCTTGAAAATGGTCAAGGCACAAGAAATGGATCAGCACATGAAGCAATTGGGAGAATTGCATGCCGAATTTGGTGTCAAGCCAGAGTTCTTTCCCATTATGGGAGATGCGCTATTCATGACTTTGAAAACATTACTAGAGGAAGATTGGAATGACGATCTCAAGGGGGCATGGGGGGACTTCTACGGGAGACTCTCCTCGCAAATGATTGCGGCCATCAAGGCCAGCAAAAACACCAAGCAATAAACTGGCTGCGGAAAAGAGAAGAAAACAGCCATCGGTCTACCAAGCCAACCAGCAGTGCAGTACCGTACCAACACGAATTTCATTGTTAGCATCGACCAACCAACCATGCAGACCCTCAGAAAACGCTTTGCAGCTCAAGTTAGTTACATTGATTTCCATAGTTTTGCATAATATTTTCATTTCTCTTTTTATTTTTAGAAATAGCAATGGGATCGAATCTATTCCAAACCGCGAGTTTCGCTGCTGCCATTGGTTCGGAACGTTCTGAGTCTTACGGTACATGTGCTACAGCAATAACCCCCTCGAGAGAGCCAGGACGAGATGCTTTGCCTTTTCTTGGGGAGCTACTCTGAGATAATTTCTGTAGCTGTTGACGCCATCTTGCTTTCCATATAACGGTGTCCTTACGAGAGAACCTTGGTCCTCCACAACAGCAAATCCGCCTGTGTCGTCAGCTCGTCCTCGGTCTTGGTCCAAGGTTGTCCGAGTAAACGCGCAGCTCATGCTGGCTTGAAATGGAGGACATGCTCGAGATCGCATGCAGTACCAAAAGTGCCAGGCAGCATGGAACCGAACGGAGATGACAGGAAGAGGCATGTTGAGTGTCAGTGACTTTCAAACGCAGCAAACTAGCTAGTAGTAGCAGAGAAATGTTGAGATAATCTGTGGGTCTTTGAATGAATCGATTCAATCTACATGCACTGCGGAAACAATGATGGAGCTGACACCGACGAAGCGACAACGGTGTGATGCTCTTGGCGAACAACGTGATCAACAAGCCAGCTTCCGGCATCATGAGCCTGGGAGTTCTGGTGACATTGAGGGGGAGCCACAAAAGAACGTAGGCGGGATGGATCAGCAGAAATCTACGGATGAGGCGGACGTGGATGTTGTTTGCTAGTAATACTGCAGCTTATTGGGGAGTAATTTGGTTTTAGATTAAGCTGAAAAGCAAAAGTGAGGATTTTCTGGTGGTGCATAGCAATTCTTGTGATTGAATTGGATATAAGGACCCCCGTAACACTTTAGACCTAAAACTCCCTCGGTTCCTTGCATGATGAATTTGCATGCGAACCGGACTAGATGATTAATACACAAGTCAATGGTAAAGAGGTGTCAGGTATGTTTCCTCCAACACACTCCTGCACGGTGCCCTA